TTATTTTGGAGACTTTTGTTTTCTTCAAAAAAGCAACAGATGGCGCTGTGTGATAATGTTAAAGTATACGATTAAGGAAATATTAAGCAATTAGTTAAGACAATTATAATAAATTGTCACTCTATTAGTCCATAACAAATAAAATTCAAAGCCTCTGTTATAACCTTATTTTCTTTAAACATTTTCTTTACATTTCTACTCACCAATTGAGGAATTATCTTCCTTTCTTATTATTATTCATAGCTGTCAAAATGATCGACAAATTCAAATTACTTCCACATCTGCCAAACATGCATAAATATGTTCGCTTAGTGTTGACTATATCAACTGCAGACAGCAATTGAAATCGCCGTACGGACTCTAGCCATGCCATTCGTCCCATTCCCAAGCAATAACATCCTTTGGCCAGGACAACTACGATTAAGATGCAAAGTGAATATTAGTATGTTAACACACTTTGGCCCCCTGTCACCAGAACCACTTTCCACTTGACTTGACTGGAGGCAGCTGCCTTGTTTTGTTGTCCCATCCTGGCTACTTGAGTGCGGTCCCGCTGTCCCTTGGTCCTTCTGTCCCTCGGTCCTTGGATGCTTGCGTCCTGGCAAACTGTTTGGCTTGAGTGGCCATCCAGCTGCGTGCCCCTGTGTCTGGCATTCGTAATGAAATTCAGAGGACGAATGCCTGTGCCAACCTTAAACGTCTTGTGTGCCAGCCGACTTTGGTTGGAATTGATTTATTGGCTCAGCGTGGGCTAAGGCCAAACATCTATTTGCTTTCTGTTTCCGGATTCCTAAATATCACTTATCTAAATATGATTTAGTGACAAAGAAGATGTGACATAAGTGTTAGTAGTTTAGGTAAATATCACAAAGGATCGCTAAAAGCTTACGAAAAATAAATCATTTCAAATTTAAGCAAAGCAACACAGAAAAATAGTCTACAACAAATATTACTCAATAGGTACATAAATTTATACATATTAATTGATTTAAAATGTTATTTTACGCTATTTTTATACCCTTGCAGAGGGTATTATAGTTTTGGTCAGAAGTTTGTAACGCTGTGAAGGAAACGTTTCCGACCCCATAAAGTTTATATATTCTTGATCAGGATCAGTCGATATAGCCATGTCCGTCTGTCCGTCTGTATGTCTGTTTCAATACCGTTTGCGAGCTCAGTTTAAAAGCTAGCGACTTAAAACTTTCACAGTCATCCTAAAACATGTGATCAAGCTTGGCAATCGACCCGATCGGATGTCTATATCCTATAGCTCCCATTTAAACAATCAGATATAATAAAACCTGGAGATTTTTCGCGCTGTGTAAATGTTATTGACATGAATCTTTCCAAATCGTATTTTTTTGTGCCCGTGCCGATAGGGTGATATAGATGATGAATGCCAATGATATTAAATTTCTAAAACATTACAAATTAATATCAGAAATATGATTTGCGTATTTGTAAAATAAAACAAGAGAGAACGCTGTAGTCGCGTGCCCCGACTATCAGATACCCGTTACTCAGCTTTGATCGCGCATAACTTTTTATCGATTAGAAAAATTTTATTCTACATTTTGATGGGTGGGAACTTTTCAAAATTTGACAACATTTAGGAGTATATAATCACATAAAAAAACGGTTTTATTAGTATAAAAATCCAATAAAAAATATCCTCATGAAAACGCTTTAAACCGAAATTAAACCATACAATGAACAATAGATACAATGAATAGTTAAAATTAGTTCCATTCAAGATTTAATTCTCAGAATTGTTTTTCCATCAGAAAAATCTCTACAATTTTGGGATTTTCAACTTTGGCGTCGAATTCCAAAGACATGGGCAATGGTTCACATTTTTTAGGAATGCCGTGATGTATTGAGAGTAGGTCCTACCGAAAATAATAAAGGTTCAAAATGTCGGCAAGCATCGGTTTTTTGTATTCTTAGCTATACCGCGGAACCTGTAGGTGATGGAAAATAAATTTGTATAGGACTTTTATTCAGGAGCATCCAAATATCATGGAAAACTTGAAATGGTTCGTGGAAATTTCACAAAGTTTAATTTTGTGTTCCTGTGTAATTAGACCTTTATAATAAGGAATAATTGATCGAGAAAAATATTAATATTCTATGTAATCTGAACATCTTAACTTATTAAGTAAATACAAATCCGCTTGATTTTTGTGGATTTGATTCTAGCATGGAACCTACGGTTTGTTTCTCCCATTTTAGTGGTTTAATGTTCAGTTTGTAGCGCCGCAAGCTCATTGCGGTTGCCACTCACCTGTTGCTGCTGGGCGTAAATTTAATTATAGCTCCATAAGTGATTTGTGGTGGGCCGCAAAGCTGGAACTCGAATCTCTAACTGAGTTCGGTGACGAATCGCAGTGAACTGAACTAAAGCTGTGCCAGTCATAAACAAGCGTTAATTGCACTTTGAGGTTGCACGACTGTCTATCTTTATTTCTACTTCCATTTCCCTCGACAAGTGCGAGTTATGTGGGAATCTGGCCCAAAAAAAACCCAACTGGCTAACAGAAAATGGCCCAATTGTGACGCTCTGTTAGCCCGTTAACAGAGAAGCTTTGAGCTTTCTCCCGCTCGGAAAATCCTCCGGAATAACAGCCATGTTAGGCAGATCGGGATTGGGCAAAATATATGTTAGTCGGTCGTCTTTGTCGGCTTTCCGCGCTCGGCGTTCAGTTTGTTTTTATACTTTGCACATGAAACATGTGATTTCCCTCGAACGCTCGCCGCCGAAGCCAGAGTTTTCTTTAGAGTTTTCCCCTCGCTGCCCAGCCGCAAGTGCGAGCGAGAGAGCGAGTCTTCGTGAGTGCGTTCGTGAGTTTCGTTCAATGTTCGTGTCGAGTCGTGTCGTGGCGATGACATTTTCCTAAGCGAGATTTTTTAGTAACGGAAATCGCCGGAGTGCTAATTAAAATTGCATCTGCCCTGGTCGGCAGTTAAATTCTTAGTCATAGAGATTAGTAAATAGTACTAATTAAATCGGAAAAACAAAAACTCTGCCATAAATCTTAGCCAAACTAGTCTGCTGTGTTATTTTCCACATGGCCCACATAAATCAATAGGACAAATATAATAAATCACCAAGTTCTAGTTAAATATTTAATTTCACCGAATGATATAAGTGGCAATAAAATTTCCGTGCGAATTTGTGCGCTGTCTACAAATCCATGTGCATAAATAAATGAGGCTGTGACCAGCCAGTTGACCCGTGAGCCGTTATTTATCGGGGCATCCACCTGAGGACAACCCCAAGTTGCCGAAAGTTTTCGCCGTGAATTTATTGCCAATGCCGCGCTCGCGCAATCCGTTGTCCTTTGGGCCTCGTTGTCGGCCAGCGAAAAGCAGCAGGGCCTTAATAAAAATCCTCAGACAAAATACGAAATCATAAACCCCGTACATACCCGTAGTATAACCCACACTTCATCGGGACCGGAAAATGCCAAAGGTACGTTGGAACACCGTGTAACATTCAAGTATTTCCGCTGTCGACTCAAGTGTGCAATCGAAAGTGAATCCACATCCGCATCCGTATCCGCATTTCGCTTCGGATAAAGCGGAATTGTTGTCCTTACCAATTCCAGTTTTGCCGTTTGTTTGCTCAACGTGGGTAATTTTTTATATCAATAAAAGTTTATCTGAACGTTCACCGCACACAAAAGTAGTTTGGCCCCAGTATTTATCTGGGCTTGGTCCCCCACTCAAGAATCTTCAAAGTGATGGGGAATTTTTAAAATGTTGAAATAAAAGTGAAGTAGTTTTTGGCTAGGGTCAGGAGAAGTGGAGTCGGTTGGGATGGAATGTTAAACAAAACTACATTTGCGATTACAATTTGTGAGATTCCTTTGATTTGATAAAATCAATTAGACAGTGCCGATGGTATTTGCTAATCGAATAAAATTTAAAATCATGTTGTTGCAAAGAATACATTAAAATAAGCACTTAGTAATTCCACAATTTAAAGCCTTATTTATCGGGCTAGCTGGAAAAACTTTAATTTTTACTTATTAAAAGGAAAAAAATATACAAAATATATATTTAGTATTTTTTTAAATGTCATAAATTAGATGCACAAAAAAAGGACTTCTGAAAAAACTTTGGTCTTTAAATTTCCGTAGCACATAATCGTCCCTAATTGGCCAGATATAAAGTGGACTAAAAAGCTATAATTAGATAAAGGAACTCATTTCAACTCCACTGGTTAAGCTTGCTTAAAAATATTGTGTGTTTGCCCTTTTGGCCAAACCAGAGCCAACCCCTTCGAATTCCTGCTCTTTCTCCTCCATTTGCGGTTTTGTACTGAGGTTGTTGTTTCTGTTGCTTTGTTGCATTTGACATTATGCGCATTAAATGCGCTTGAAATGCTCCACTTCCTCCGGCAGCTGCGACTGCTCCTTCCTTCCACAAACACGAAACTGACATTGACAGCGATAAGAGGTCGAGGAGGAGAAGGAGTGCCGGAAGTGTCGGTAAGGCGACAGAAGAGCCAGGAGCCGAGAGCCAGGAGCCAGAAGACAGGAGCCGGGAGACTGGAGACAGAGGTAGACAGCTGCCAAAGCGCTTTGTAAATTATGTCGTTGAGGGGCTTCGGCTTCAGCTCGAGTGGGTTTTATGGGGAAAGTAACCAAAACCCGGAATAAAAGCACTACCGTATGGCAGGACATAAACATGTGTGTTCGAAAGTTTCCGGGGTTGGGGCACATTGTGCTCAGCCTTTAATTAAATATGTACAAACCTGGCGGTTGCCGCGGCGTAAAGTAATTTGAATTTAATATTCATGCTAATTTAAATATGAAAACGCAGTTCGCGGATTACAGTGCGTATACGTAATGCTTAGCTTGATTGCGGGTTTGCGGAGCACTTTAGATGGGGGCTTAGATTTAAATGGCATTAGTGCTGAGGTGTGCTCATATGAATTTAAAAGCGAGGCGAACATCCGCCGTCGACATCAGTTGAGTTCCAAAAGGCCATAAGAAATGAGAAAAATTAAAATTGTAATCTGGCTACTGGTCAGTGCAGTGGTTTCCGCGGTGGGTCATCTTCATTTCCCAAAGGAATTTCTTGAGGCAGTGCACAAAGAACGATCCTTTTCAAGTCTTCTTCTGATGCAAAGCGGAATTCATAGGAACGATCTGCTCCGGGGACTTTATCCCGTACCCTGGCCCATAATTCGTTTGGATGAAACTCAAAGAATCGAGTTGGTGGACCATTACAATAAGGAATTGCTGGCTCTGGTCTACATGGAGTCTCCCGAGGATATATTGTTACTCTCAGCACTGGCTGTTGACTTGAATCACATCAGAGATACCAGGATTGTGATTTGGCTACAGCGCAACTCTTCTACAGTCCTACTCGAAGACATCACACGAGAGGCAGTCAAGCACAAGTTCCTCAATCTCTTAGTAATTGAGAATACATTAAAAATGCAACGGTTTTTTCCATTTCATCAGTCGAAATTGCAAGTCATCGAGAAACCTCGTGAGATTTTCTCTGTACCTTGGCGCAACTTTATGGGCAAGGTAGCTCTGACGATGCCCGACCTGGTGCCACCAAGGAGTTTCTTTTCGATAGATCCACGAACGGGAGGCAGAAAGCACAGTGGCTATGTTTACAATCTGATAAGGACCTTTGCCAACCATTACAACATCACGTTGAAATTGCTAAGGCCTTTAAATCAAAGTTTGCACCAAATTGACATCATACAGAAGACAATGAGGGGCGAGATCGATCTGCCAATTACCGGGCAGTTGACCAACTTCAGACACCCGAACGGATGCAGGACTGACACTGTTATAGGGATAACATCACTGACTATTGTAGTGCCTTGCGGCAAAGAGCTGTCAATGTTCGAGCGGTACTTTGTCCTCTACGGACATACACCAAGCGTAATCTCTTTGGCATCATACATTCTCCTGAGCATTATAGAGGTTGTTTTTCGGACTCTGAACGATAGACTCACGATCAATCGCGGTCCCAGCCGTTTTGAATTTGCGAACGTAGTGCTTAACCTGCAGGTGATCCGTTGCATTCTGTCCATGTCGATTCCAATGGGAAATCGACTGCGATCCGTCATGGGACAGCTTACGGTGATGACCAGTTTTGTGGGCCTGATTTTGTGCTGCATTAATGCCGCTCGTTGCAGCACTCTGCTGACCATGAATCCCCAGTACCGGCACATTATGAACTTTGACGAGCTACGCGATAGTCACATAACAGTGGTCTTTAACAACCTGAACTACAAGACGATCCAACTGGAGATGGACCCCGAGTTTGTGTCAGAGTTTCTGCCAAATGTCTGGGTTGTGAGCAGCCGTGAGCAAATGAAGATGCTCAGTGATTTGAATACCAGCTATGCCTATCAGACATATTCGTACAAAAACGATCCTTTTTCGCTGCTTCAAAGACACTCCGTACGAAAAGCTTTGTGTAGGTCCCCCAAACTGGATCTGGTCAGCGGACTCACCTACTCTTCGGTTCTGCAGAAGAATTCGGTTTACGCAATGGCTTTGCAGGATTACCTATTTCATGTGTGGGGCGCCGGGCTTGTTAACTACTGGATCGAAGAAGCGGTTTGGGAACTTACATCCTCAGTGAGGCATACCCGATTTGGCAAGCTACCCACTGCAATCGGTTTCGAAGCTCTGAAGCTCGAGGATTACAAAAGCAGCTGGCGAGTACTCTTACTGGGTTGTACTCTAGCTTTTTGTGTTTTCATCGCGGAAGTACTTGCAGTTTGGCTAAAAGGGAGAAGGAGGAATACGGTTATCTAGGAAAAAATAATACAAGCTTTTGTGGTTTGAAAAAATGTGTTAAATTTGAAATATATTTTCACAAGACACATTATATAAAGGTTCACTCTAAAAAATGTATTTATTTACCACACTGAGCTGTAAAAGCTTTTAAAATGCAATAAAATACTTACAAAGTTGTATTAATCATCATTAACCCGAAACGAAACTTAAATAATAAATATGTTCTCTATATACCACAATTTTATCGCAGTTTATATGTGAATTTGCTAGAAGTAGGTTCACAGCAGATATCTGCCAATTTATTATTTCTACCAGTTTTTATATAAATGCTTATATCGCGGATTAAAGTGCTGGAGCTGATTACAGGCTTGCAGAGCACTTTAGATGGGTACTAGATTTAAATAACATTAGTTCAGTGATCCTGGGATACGGATTTAAAAGTGAAATTAACTTTTACCAGTAATGTCAGTTGAGTAACAAAAATTCTCAAGGCATGAAGGAAGTTAACATCAACATTTTTATTTTGGTTACTAATTAGAAATGCACTCAAACATCTCTCAACATCTTCATTTTGTCAAGGATTTGCTTGAAGACTTAAGGAGTGATGTTCATAGAAAGGACGTATTATTCGTATGGACAAAGCTCGAAGATTTTAGTTTGGTTAATACCTGCAACAAGGAATTTTTGGTTGGTTACTCTCAGCACTGTCTGTAAACGTCAATCATACAAAAGAGATCCGGGTGGTGAATTTTGTAAAATGTATTCCTACTGATCCATTTCCCAGACCATAATTCTAAATGATTGATTCCCCTAGGACCTTTTGGTAATAGTATCCCAATTAGTTGTTATCTTTGTCATTCATTTCGGGTCTGGATTTAATGACTTTCTAGTTATTAGATCCTCCAAGAAAGGAATGCCGGCCCTTTTTAGGTTGCCATTTGCGACCGCCATTAAGGACCTGCATCTCCAGGAGCACAAGGAACGTTGTAATATACTTTTTAAATCGCGAGTTCTTCCTTAGCTTTTTTGTTTTTCTCGCAGAAGTATTTTTAGGCTAGCTGAGTTACGGAAATCAATAATTTATTTTTAGTAGGGGAGAGTGGGGGAATTTCGTCACAGGGGCAATTTCGTCACATGCAATATCTCGGAATCCATAAGTCGTAAAAATATATAATTTTTTTGTTTTAGTCCTTCAAGACGGCCAGACACAACCAATGCATTTGTTTTGCACAGAAGGCCAAGATAATTAAGCTATAATATTATATGTGTTTTAACAGTTCAAAAGCTACATTTAGTTCTCGACGAAATTTTTTCTGTATGCCACAATTCAAAAGGAATAAGATACACGATTTTTTATATAATACACAGTGCTATAATGTGCACCTATTTTAAATACATATTTTTATATTTGACGAGCTGGCTAACGAACAGACTACCAGCAGCAGCAACAAATATAGGACGTCAACGAAAATGGTACGCTTGATCAGTGTAGCATATTTTCAGGCGTTAAACTCCCTACATTTTTCAGGTGACGAAATTTCCCCAGTTGTGTGGTGATTTTACCCCCCTGTGTGGTGAGATTGCCCCAGTATATTGGTTTTACATTTTATTTTTTTATAAATCACCAAGTTAAATAAAAAAATAGGGGAATGTCACATTTTAAAGCTTTGTGCTAACCGCATTCAACAATAAAAATAGAAATATGATAACGTGTCTCAAGATGGACAAAAAATAGCTTTGAAAAAATGCTGACGAAATTCCCCCACTCTCCCCTACTCTTCAAAAGAAAATTAAACATTGGCCCAAAAATTTGGTTGACAAGAATCTAAACGGATGTGTATGCTGCATTATTATTATATATAAAGATTTGAAAGTACGAAATGAAGTATCCTTAATACTTGGGTCATCATTTGTACACTTCATAATAGCCCTGTCTAATGACTTGAATAAATGATTTAAACGTGAGTTCAAGGTAGGTTGCATCATTCCGCCGCCTTTGACTATCTGGGCCCTCATCAATGACAATAAAAACTCAGTCATAAAGGGGCCACAAATGACATATGTGACGATATGCCAGGCATTTATGATGGCAGAGGGCCACCAGGCAAGAGGTTATGACAGCCAATGCCGACATGTCCGCTGGCCAGATTGAGTGTGGGAACAAAGCATAAAGCCGGCATATGGGAACTGGAGTTCCAATAGCCAACCTTGACCGCAATGGAGACTGTTCCGATTCCCGGAGTGCGACAATTAATTACTGCATAATAAATGCGTATGATACGATTGATGGTATTGATGAGTAGGGCGTGTCTGACTGTTGACCAACTGCAATTAGGGATAGAATGGATCGAAATGGAGAACATTCTCAAAAATCAATCGATTGACGTCAGAGGGAACGAAAATTGGGCAGAAGAAAAACCGTGTGTAAGGTGACACAATCCCACAAAAAGGATACACACATGGAAACATGAGGCCACAGGGCGTATGCGTCACGTGAACTGTCGAAAGCCTGGGAAGGGGTTTAAGTTCTCAACTTACGCCCTGCCTTTATGCCCGACTTAACGCGGAAAAATAAACGAAATCCCGCAGCTAAAGTTACGATTGTGCTCTTTGGCCGTTTTATCATTTAATTAAAATTTAAATTGTAACAGCTAGCGGAAAAATCGGGGAAAGCTGGATGCGGAAGCCAAACTTCTCGCATATAAGTATACGTATGGGAAGAACTTTCGCTGCTGCCCTCCTCACCCTATGTGAATTATTTATATCGCATACAATTTGAATTTCTGGTATTTGCATTTATCAGATTGTTATTTGCTGATTGACATGGTGTGCAGGTGAAGGTGTGTGTTCCTGATTGGACTACGTTCTCCCGAGGGAAAGCCAGCGAAATGGACGCCTCGCATGTCAATCTTCATTCGACAAAGTGTTGAAAGGCACTAGTTAGAGGTTATGGAATCATTAGAACGAAAATCCATATATTTACATTAACTTTTTACACACAGAATTCCACTGGGGAGCGCATTCAATTTAATACATGGCTAATTTCACTGGCAATGCAAAAATAATTAAGCCAACGCCAAATTGCATTCGCATGCCATTAGTATTCATGTTTGTCGGTCAATTTGCTGTCAAAATATGCCAGACCAGCAGAAGTGGCTGGGTCAGGTCACTTAACCGCATTAAAACGTCAGCCAGCCAGTCGGCCAAAAATTCATTTTATGTAGGAATGCACTTTAACAGCACTAAACAAAATATGGTCAAGATAGATTTTAACGGACTGAATACAAAATGACAATAAAATTAAATTAATTCAATAAAAGTGGTTTGTAAATATGGAAAAACGGGAGGCTTGCAACAAATAAGTCTTAATGGTTCGGAAAGAATTTAAGAAACAATTTTTGAACACAAAAATTTTAATTTATAGAAGTATTTTTTTGTATATATTAGAGGTTATCCGCATATTTAAATTATTGTATTCATTCATTTAGTTCTGAGGACTAATCACTTTAAGCAGATTTAAACAGGTTTTTTCGTTTAGTGTAAAATGCAAAGCCCAACAGACTCGGAAGGATATGAAGAGAAGGGCTTGTTGTAAAGGGTGTGAAAAGTAAAGAACCGCAGGGCTGCCGTTGTTTTTCGCACCGAGCTAGGAAAAGTTCTGTTTAAGTCAAATATTGGCCTGTGCCAACCAGCTCCGCCCCGCTTCGTCTTCGCCCAGGGATATTAAGCGAGAAACGGCAACAGGACAAAGCAAATGCAATAAAAAATAAAAAAATTTATAATCGGTGAAAATGGAGAGGGAGGAGAATAAAGCTGAATGACTTGCCGTCTTTTCAGGGAAAGCTTAAAGAGTCAAGCCGAGCAGTACGGTCTTCATCAATTATCCAAGCGTAGAATGCAATTGAAATTTTCTACTGGGGCGGATCAAGATTTTTATTATGCTTTATACTCCAACACCATTTTCCCCCGCTCCGCTGGCCAATCGTAAATTTACAGCTGACAGCTTTTCCAGCCGAAGGAACGGGAACGAGTCGGCTTATGTCAGGCCTGGCTAAGTGCATGACAATCACAGATAGTTGGTGGCAGGGGGGACTGAGAAATGTCCTTTTTCGACCCGGTTTCGTAGTTGTTGTTGTTGCAACAAAGGACAAACCGAACAAACAAACAAACAGACCAGCAAACCGTTCGACATATTGCAGCCGGAGAAACAAGAGACATTTTGATGGACAGCCTGTCAACGCGCAGTCGGTTCATATTTTACTATTGCATATAGAAGTCTGACTTTCGGATTAATGGTTTACAACAATTCGATTTTACGCCAAACACCGAAAGACAATGTACGAGCGAAAACTAGAATTGGATTTTTTGTTTTATTGATGTTGTTGAAAACTGTCCATCTCTGCAAGCGTTGTTGAAAAACTGTTGTTTAAAATAATAGATATTTTGTAGCCTATCGAGAAATAAGGACATGTCTCATTTGTACTGACCCTTTGACAAATGGCGAGTGGCAAGCCCTCCAAATATTTGACAGGATATGAAGGCGAATCCTGCCGTAAACTCACAAATGTGCTCATGCGTCTAAGGATACAGAGAATTATTGATCGCAGGTCAAGTTGTGGCAGTTGGCAAGGTGCGTTATCATGCAAGTTAATTGCATTGCACGGCGAGGCGTGCTATAAGATGGCCACTGTCACTGACACCGCATTTCAATTAAATCAACACATTGATTTAATTAAATTTCAACCGTTTTACGAACTCGAGCTACTCAGTGGCCGCTTTCCTTTTTTTTCCTTTGGCCTTTTATTGGGCTGCGGTCTTTTTCGGTGCGTGGTAGTTCAATTTAAAATGCCATCGATATGCGCAACGGCATAATTTATGCACAGGATCCGCCGGGCTCTGTTCATCTTTCAGAGCGACGCCCTTAAATACACATATATTGTTGAGTTTGGATAAAGCCGCAGAAAGGAAAGTGGCATGTAAAATGTTTTTTAAATGATTTATTTTATTTTCTGGAACAT